CACCTGCCCGTGCATCCGCCCACCTGTCCGTGCAGCTGGCTACCACCTGCCCGTGCATCCGCCCACCTGCCCGTGCATCTGTCCACCCACCTGTCCATGCATCCATCCACTCACCTGCCCGTGCATCTGTCCACCCACCTGTCCGTTCCCAACGTGCAGGAGCTATCCCTATGGGGTGGGGACACGGTGTGTGCTCAGGAGGTCCGCCACAGTGACCAGCGGACAGCTGTATCTGTGCGGCAGGGCAGGAAAGGGGCAGCCTCAGAGGTCCCTGGGGCGAGGGGCCGAGGGACCAAGAGCTGCTGCCACCGACCAGAGGCAGGGACGAGGCCCCGGCTCCAAGGCGGGTGGTGACTGGGGGCCGGGGAGAGCAGACCTGGAGCTGGGCGTGTGGAGCGGGGACGCGCAGGTCCCCTGCGTGGGGCAGCCCGCGGCGTGACTGCGGCCCTCTGGAAGCGTCATGGCCAGCGGGGCCGCCGCAGGCTCCCCGTCGCCATCCAGTCGGCGCCAACCCCGGCCCTGGGGCTGCAGGAGGACCCGAGTGCAGGGCGGCAGGACGCGTGTCCGCCGGCGGGTTCCCGCCTCCCGTCGCTGTCCTGGCGTGCAGTAAGTGTGCGTTCGCCTTTTTCTTTGCAGGGGACAGAGCAGAATGCGGCACCACCAGGTAAGAGCCCGGCTTGTTCTCTTTCACCCGCTGCCTGAGGGGAAAGTGGGGTGAAGTGGGGGGCCGGGGTGGGGGCAGGTGGGCGCGGACCCCGCTGAGAAGCTGGGGCGTCGCCGGTGGCACAGCTCTTTCCGGCCTGCGGAGAGGCTGGAACCTACTTTGCTCTGGCCCAAACAGCTGAAGCCTGGCGGCCTGGGGCGGGGGCGGGGAGGGGCTCTGGGAGCTGCTGCAGCAGTGGGGTGTCCCCTGGTGTCCCCCCTGGCGGGCCAGGCCTGGCTGTTTCAGAGGGGCTGAGGCCTCCAGTCGAGGCCGGAGGCTGTGGGTGGGCGACCTGTCTCCCCGTCTGCCACCTGGCCGCTGAGCAACCTGCCCAGCCCAGGCGTGGGCCCCCCCGAAGGCGCCCCCGAAGGCCCCTCCTCGCCAAGGCTTCGGATTTGGTTCTTCTGACGCCTCTGGGCACACGCATGCGCAGATCCAGACACCTGCACTGCCCCCACGCCGGCCTGTGGCTCCCTGGCTTTGGGCCTCACAGGCCTTGGACCCACAGGGAGCCCCTTGCTGGGAGCTAATCCCTGGTGCCCTCTGCTTGCGCTCCAGCCTGCTCGGCACCCCTGCGCTTTCCCTGGGCAGACCAGGGCCAGCGGACGTTTCCCAGGGGCCGCTGGCGCTGGCAGGCTGACCTCTGGCCACCAGACCTCTCCTCTGCCTTCAGAGCTTAGCCCCCCCCCGGCCACCGCTCCCACAGTTCCCAGCAGCGCTTACCCCGGGTCCCGCGCAAACCCAGCCAGGGGCCCGAGGCTGCACCTCGCCGGGTGTGGCCCTGAGAGCGGCCTTGGCCTCACTCTGGGCCCAGGGACGCGATGACACCTCTGCCCGCGTCCTCCCCCGTGCCCAGAGTCCCCCACAGCTGCCACACTTGGCAACGCTCTCCTCATCCAGAAGGGACTTCCCTGGGAAGAGCTTGGGGAGCTCTGGGGTCCAGCCTGCGGGTCCCCAGAAGGGGAGTCTGAGTTGGCTCCAGAAACCGCGCCTGTGCAGCCGTTCCTCTGGCCGGCAGGCTGGGCCTCGTGACGCAGGGCAGGGGCCTTCCAGCTCTGCCCGGCAGGCGCGACAGGGGCACGCGCTAAGAACCTTGTAGAAACAAATCCTGATTACTTACTTGTTTTCTGGCAAAGGATGCTGTTGTAGGCCCAAACCAACAGAAACCACATTTCCCACCAAAGTCTGCAAATAGTGAACAGAGGGCGCATGAAATGAACCATCCTTCATCCTCCTAGTTCCTAGAACTCCAGCAGGAGATGGTTCCAGCAGATTCCAGGCCCGGGCCCGGGCCCGGGGCTACCTCCGAGAAAAGTTGAGGGTGTGAAAAAAGTGCTGTTATCCAGGGCGGGGGACTCGCAGCTGGGACCCCCCCCCCCCGCACCTGGAGACCCCACTGCAGGCTGGCCGCACGCCCCCGCGGGCCCAGCCTTCTGCTCTCTGGCCCTGGGCCGAGGTCGGAGGCAGCTTTGTCAGTCGGTCAAAGCTTCACCTTCCAAGTCATTTTCAGCCTGTGTGCAACACCTTGCCAGCTTGGTTTTTAAGGTAATCAGAAGACTTGGGAGGCTGCTTCTGCACCCTCCAGACCTTGCTCCCCAAGGCCAGCGTCATCGTGATGGTCATTTGGGCAGCCCCTCAGCTGGGTGGCTGCTGGCCGCTCAGAGACGGCCTCACGCTCCGGCTTCTCACACTGAAAAACTTTATCTCCACCCGCCCACACTCACCACGGGCCTGTCACCTGGTCGGCCAGAGGCGAGGATGCGCTTACATGTGTAGCCAGACGGACTCACCCTGGTCCGGCTTGCAGGTGGGATCGCTTGAGACCCCTGGTCCTGCAGACACGACCCCACGCACAGCCTCCCAGAGCCTGGCCACCCCCAATATTGACGACCCTTTGGGCATTGACGCCCGTGTTCCTGAGTTGCCTGGGGAAGATTTTAATCACAGCCCTTGAGGTCACAGGATAATTTTGAGGCCAGTTCCTGCCTTGCCAACACGTGTGAATCTTCATCTTGGTTGAAAGGCAGAAGGGAAATTGGTCTCTGGTTCTCTTTCTCCCCCTCCGTGGCTTTCTTTGTTCCTGTGTTCCCTGCCTCTCTCTCTCTCTCTCTCTCTCTCTCTCTCCCCTTTGCGCTCTGCAACTGTGCAGCAGAAGAGACGGAAGCCTTAGGCTGCCCCACTTTCCTTGGCTGGGATGCTCCCCCGCTCCCCACTTTGCGCCCCACCCAGCTCTTCAGTAAGTCGGTATTGATTGGATGTCGTGCAAAGCTGGGATAGCTACGTCTCCTTGTCAGAGCCCCGCCAGCGCGGGGCGCACGGGGGAACCCCAGTGCGATTAACAGGCTTTACTTTCCAAATTGGACAGGAGAAAAGTGGCCTGTTTCCCCTTCATTTCATTTGTGAACTTACAAAGCAATACGTAAATAAAAAACAACCCCAGGGCTTACTCAAGGCAGTCGCCCCGCTGGGCAGCCCCGACTCCCCTGACCCCTGCAGGAAGTCTCCGCTCCACTCCCCGCTGGCCGCGAGCGTTTAACTGGTCGCTAACGCGCCTGTGGGTGTCCTGTGATCAGCTCAGGTCCCCGCACGCAGCCTGGCCTAGACGCTGAGCCGCGCCCCGCCCCGCCCCATGTCCGCTGACCTTGGGCGCTTGCTGACCTCTCCCGGGCGCACCTGCCTCACGTTTCGAGTGACGTGATGACCGTGCCAACCTCACGGGCCTGGGTCCACCTGGGTCCACTCCAAACAAGGACAACATAGCGAAACCCCATCTCACGTTACCCGCAACCCCAAACTCAAAGCCGGTGGCCTCGTGCCAACATTTTGACACAGTTTTGGCATTTGGAAATTCCAAAGCAGACCCGTCAGGAGAAGTAGCAACCCCCCCCCCCCACACCTCCAAAATCAAGTCACTCACGAAAAGGAGATGACATGGACTTAGCTAACCAAGGTGACGTGGACCGAGCTGGGCTTGACTCCACCTGCCTGTTTCTTTGCCAAAGTTTGGTCTGTGCTGTTGTTTCGGTGCCAGTGTTTGGGTGGCATGATATTTGGGGGTGTCCTTGCCCGTGCATGTCCTGGACCTAGCAGCATTTGCTCAGCACTCACCCTCCTCCCCCGGGTTGTTGCTTGGGGCTCCAGGGGTGGCCGGCAGCCCAGAGGACTTCCTGCCCGTCCCCAGACATCCCTCCCGACTCGGGGACCGGGTCTGCGCTGGGCACGTCTGGCTACCCTCCGTGCCAGGCTGGGCTCCCATTTCTCGCCCCCCAAATTGTGAGCCAAGCCATTTGAAAAGAAACGCCGCCTTGGTCAGCGGCCCCCTTCCCGGCCCCCGCGGGGCGACGGGCGGGCAAACAGGCCCACACGGGGGGAGCATGGGGAGCGGCCGGGCCGGCTGGGGCGGCCGCGGCAGTGCCGCAGCCCCGGTGAGCTGTGGCGCGGGCCCCTCGCTGCGGCCCAGAGCGCCACCCCGGGAGCGGACGCCCGCAGGAAAGCAAGACACTTCCAGCCGGCCCCTGTGGGCCGCCGCCGGCAAGGCCACCGGGAGGGACGGTCCCTGACCCGGCGAAACACGCCTGGAGCTCCCGGGACGGGCCCGGCAGCGGGAAGGCGCACGGCAGCCCGGCCTGCTTGGGGGGCCCCCGGCCGCGGGGCGAGACTGTGAATCGGGCGGCCGTGGCCGTGCACTGCATTGACTGGGGAGCGGGGAGAGCCGCCACCCGGGCTCCCCCTGCGCTGGCCCCAGCGTCCCGCCTGGTCCTGAGGCAGGTGGGCCTGACGTGCCAGGAGGGGGCGTGGGGTGGGGGGGGCGTGGGGGGCACCCGGCGTATGGAGCCTGGCGCAGAACTGAAGCCCAGCGAGTGGAAAGCAGCCCTGTCGTGCCTCTGGAAGTGTCTTGCTTTCTCAGGCCACGGTGGCACCCTCTCCCCTGACCCCCCCAGCCCGGGCAGCTGGCAGCCGCCGGTGGGAGCGTCGTGTTCTCCTAGACACGCGCTGTCCCCGTGCTGTGCGCTCGCTGCTCCTGCCCCGCGGCGCGAGTGACCAGGCCCCGGCGCCCCGGGGCCCTCAGGGCTGCGGGGCTTCATCTGCATTTGTGTCGTCGCTCGTGGGCTCGGAGAACGTCGTTCCCCGTGTGTGTTTACGTCGGTTGCTTTCTTGATTTCTTTTGTTCCGTTTCCCCCTAGGCCCCCCAGCCTTCCCCCTAAACCACAGAAAATGAGGAGACCTAGGCCTGTCTCAGTGTGTAGCCATAAACTGTTTAGCGGCTGTATGGAAGCGTTCATTAAGGTACTGCTGGGAGCCACGGAGTCCGCAAATGCGCCCAATGTAATGGCAGCCGGCCCCTCCCTCGCCCGCAGCCTGCCCTGCCCGACGTGCGGCCTCGCCCTCGCCAGGCCTGCGGCCAGCTGCCCCTCCCGCGTGCCCTGGCCTCGGGAGGTGCCTGAGCAGGGCGACGTCGGTCTGTGGCCGGTCGCTCCTCGGCGCCTTCCCCTGGTTCTCAGCCCCCAGGAGGACACCAGAGAAGCCCGAGTGGGGTGGAGGCCCTGCAGCCGCTGCGGGCCCAGCCCTCCCAGAGCCGGCGAGCGAGACCCCGGGGGCGTGCTCGGGAGCAACAGCGTGCAGGCCCCGCGGCAGGCAGCGTGAGCTCCCCGCACGTGACCGCTTCCCTCGCCGGCACTGGGCCGCCAGAGAACACGCTGCAGAAAAGCTGTCGTTTTGCTTCTTGCTAGGCAGCTGGGCCCAGGGTTCCGGTGAACCCTGTCCACCTTGAGCTGAACGGGAAAGCGTTTCAGCTCGCCGAGTTTCTTGTTGCTTGGGTGCCAGGGGCACAGAATGCAGCCACCCAGACGCAGGTGCAGGTGGGGGTGCAGTGCAGAGGGCAGCGGTGGGGCGGACCCCGGAAAGGGAGAGGCGTTTTAGAACCAGCGGGGCGGGGGCCCTGCGGTCCCCGAGAGCCCTCCGCGCTCGAGGCTGCCGGGGGCTGGCCGGGAAGCCCGCTCGCTCGTCAGAGTGCGTCTGCGCGCCCGGACCCTCTGCGCACCCTCCGCGCGCGGCCGACGAGGCGGGCGCGCTCAGCTCGGCCTTGCCCTCGGGCTCCCAGCTCTCGGGGAGAGAGACGGCGGGACGCCCGTTCCGCTCTTGGGCCCAAGACGGTTTCCTCGGCTTCCCCCTCTCTCTGCGAGAAGCGTCTGGGCGGAGAGCCTCCAGCTTCGAGACACGAAGCGTGCAAGGCTGGCCACAAGATCAGCTCCGGGCCCTCGGACTCTGGGCGGCGCAGACTGGACCGGGGCCCGCGCAGCGAGAGGGGGCGCGGTGGGAGTTAGTGTCTTAAATTCCTGGGACGCCCTTCAAGGCCTTTGGTTTTTCGGTAGGGCCCAGTTTTGATGAAAAGAGTTGAGCCCGGCAGGTCTAGCTCAGGGCAGGGGAGGGCCTGCAAAGGGAGGGGCCTTGGCCTGAGCGCAGGAGGCAGTGGCCAGGCCTTTTCCCAGTGCCGCCGGCCTGCCCCGGGGCGGCCCCCTCCCAGACCCGCCCCACCACCTGCCCCCAGGGAAGCACATTCACGGTCCGGCTCAGCCTCCTCGAGGCCTGGACGAGACCTGACACTCCCGAGCCCAGTGCTGCCCACCCAGGAGGAGGAGCAGTGTCAGCGCCCCCCTCAGCGTGGCTTAGCGAAGGCAGGATCTCCCCGTGATCCTCGACTGCCCCCCGGCCCCCCTCCGCTTTCGGGGTCTCAGAGGGTTCTTGTTGGACGCCGGTGGAATCCTGTCCTCAGGCCCCCAGTCCACACGGTTGTGAGCAAATTCGCTCACAAGACAGGTTTCCCGCGCAGAGTCCAGGGCGGCAGGGCAGCTGGCCTCAAGGGCGTCCTCCTTTCCGTGGGCAGCAGGCCCCATGTCGGGGGCTCGGGGGATTCGGGGCGCCTGCTGCTGGTGAGCAGGAGCAGGCTCTGCCCACGCCCTTCTGCAGTCTTTCAGGGCCACCGGGCCGAGGCGGCCCCAGCACGCCGGCTGGGGCCGGCCCCAAGTGCCACAGGCCCCGGGCAGGGCGCTCCCCGGCCGGCCACAGTGTCCACGCAGCTGGCTGCCATTGCATTGGGCATTCGCAGACTCTGGAGGACCTGCTTACTCTAACTGATCTTACTCCTGCGTAATCTCTTCTTTTTCTCCTGCTCTGCTGCCTGTTTATTTTTTGTTATCAGAGGAAGAAGAAATGCTCGAACCAGGAACCAGGTATTTACTGGAAAGGTCCGTCAGCCCCATCCTGCTGGAGGAGACCCGTCTTTAGCAGAGACTTCTAGAACAGAGCCCGCCTTGCCAGTGGTCGGGGGGCTCCACTTTAATCAGGAGAGAACCCCCCGCGGGGCGTGGGGTGTGCGGGAGCCACGAAATGTCCGAATTCAGGCCCCTACGAGAGCGCTTTGCACTGGCCTGCTGGTTCCTCACCCGAGGAGCTGCACGATCTCACGTGGCCCCTTGCAAGGAACGCGTTAAACAGATGCTATGTCCCCACGGGGCCGGACGCCACAGAGGTCCGGCAGTCACGGAGGCCAGCCCTGTGTGGCCCGGGCCGGCTGGGAAGCCGCAGTTGAACACCCACGCTGCGTCCCAGGGCACGTGTTAGAAAGGCCCAACTCAGCCTTCTTGGCCACGAGATGGCCGGTGGCTGCCACAAGTGGCTTCTAGAACTTTCCTTGAATCCTGTTTACTGTGAAGCCACGTGTCCATCTGGATGTCTGGGCTGAAACTGGTCTTCGGTCCGCAGAGCCCAGTGCACCCCCCGCTAGCCTGGGGCCCCGAGCACGCTCCTGGTGACCAGAGGCCTTGGTCCTGCCTCGTTATCCAGGATTCCGGGGACACGGGGCTGAGTTGGGGCTAAGCCAGTGGGGGAACTCGTTAAGACCAGAGGAGTGGGGTCCCGCCCTGCCCCAGACCAAGCTTCCTGAGCCCCGACTCCTTCCCAGCTGAGTCAAAGCCAGAGAGAGCATTTCTTTGAAACCGTCCTAACCACGCCTTTTCTGCACTTACCTGAAGACTCTGGACTTTAAATGTTCGTGGAGACTTTAGAATTAGCATTTCTGGCTGTCTTCCTACTAACCCAGCGGTACTAACTGTGGCTGGAGTGCGTGGTCTGTGTCATGTCTTCTCTCCTGGGGCGTCGCCCCACCTAACACACCCCCCGGCTTTTCTGCCTGCAGGATTCAGGACAAGCCATCCCGCTGGTGGTCGAGAGCTGCATCCGATTCATCAATTTATACGGTAAGCTGGGCGGGACAGTGCAGCCCGGTAAGCTGCCCGGGCTCCGGGCGCGAGGCCGCGTCCTCGGAGGGAGACGACAGCCCCCCCGGAAGGCTCCTGTCCCCGCGCTGCTCACGGACAGTGCTCGCTTTGGGTCAGCTGCTCCTCTGACCCTGTCCTTTGGGCCTCGTGTGCGTGTGTGTTGGGGGGAGGTAGAAGGTGCTGGGGAGAAGACCCAGGGACTGGGAAAGCCGAGGAGCAGGGCCCACGCGGCCCCGAGCCGAGTCTGGGTCCCAGAGTCGCCCACTTCCCACTGCCCGATCCCAGGGAGCCCTGCGAAGGGGCGCTGTCTGGGCAGGCCTGGCACTAAACCTGGCTGCAGGCGTCCGCCCGGCCGTCCCCCCAGAGCCCATTTCCAGGGTGCGTAGCAGGTGGACAGTGGGGACGTGGGTGCGAACGAGACAGGAAGACAGTCCTGGGTTCACAGTCAGAGGGCGGGAAGCACTGAGCAGACAGAGAAAGGGAGAAGTAAATAAGTGAGCGGATAAATACAATTCTCGCAGTGGCAGTGCCCAGAGGCCATTTGGCAGGGGCCGCCTGACTGGAGGGGTGAGGAGCGGCCTCTGGGGTGGTGCTTGGGCAGAAGCCCTCGGGCGAGGGGGGCGGCCACGTGAAGACCCGGGTGGGAAGGGGACCCGTGAGGCTGGACCGGGAGGACGGGAAGGGAGGCCGGCCGGAGACGCGTGGAGTCACGGAAGAAGAAGGCGTAGACGGAGCCGAGAGGGTGCCAGGCCCTGAGGCCACAGCCTGGCCCGCAAGGGCAGACGCGCTCCGGGCCGCTGACCTGAATGTAAAGAGAAGCTGAACCCCAGGGCAAGGCCCCTGTGTCCCCAGTCATTCCCACTTCAGTTGGGGGCCCCGTCGCCGATGGTGTTCAGTACTGCAGCCGGCTGTGAGGGTGGGTGTCAGCGTCTCTCCTAGCTCCGTGGAAATGTTGATAAGAAAAAGTTTTCTTCCATGACTCAGTCTCCCCACACCAAAGTCCAGGCTGGCACACACCCGAGGCTCTCGCAGGTCCTGAAGGAAGGGGTCTGTGCGGGGGAGAGGACGGCCAGGGTAGTGGCCCTGCTCACTCTTGTCCACTCCGAAGGCATTTATGAGCTCAGGTGGAGCTGCTCGGGGCCAGGGAAGCCGGGGAGCCCCGTGGGCCGCGTGCACACGTGGTTGCTCCTGGCCGACTGCCGGGACCCGGCCGTGGGCCCGTGGGCCCGGAAACCGTGGCCTTCTCCTCGCAGCCCAGACGGGAGCCCGGACAGCGAAGCGGATGCCTGAGGGCCTGGCCAGCCCTGGGCTCCTTCTGGGGCCTTGCCACGGGGGAGCAGTGGCGGGCCGGTGGCTGCGGCCCCAGGGTGCCGTCTGTCTCACAGGCCTCCAGCAGCAGGGAATCTTCCGCGTGCCCGGCTCCCAGGTCGAAGTCAACGACATCAAGAACTCCTTTGAGAGAGGTGGGTGCCGGGCCGCTCGCGAAGGCGGGTGGGAGGCGGCTCCAGGGGCGCGCCCTCTGCCTCTCCCGGGGGACCCCTGGCCCCCGGGAGGAGCACGGTCCCCTGTCCGCGGGCCAGGACACGGCTGGCAGCTGCAGCTCGGAGGAGGCCCCGCCCGCCTTACTACCCCTCGGCCCGCCGCCCTTTCCCCCGACCAGCGTCAGCCAGGGCCTTCGCGAGATGCCGCCGCCGCGGCCGGCTCTGCTGGCAGCAAGCTTGAGCTCGCCCTAGAGTTTGGCTCTTGCTGGGGTGTCCTGGTGCGGAGACGAGGCGAACGTCCCGGGAGGCAGGGCTCGGCGCCCGACCCGGAGAGAGCCGGGGCTTCCCGGGGCCATGCTCTATCCTCTCAACCCAGCCCATCGCCTCCGTGGCCAACACCGGGAGCTGCCGGGTCCGGCAGGGCAGGCCTGGAGGGGGCCGGGGCCGTCGCCCAGGCAGATCGGGGTTCACTTGGCTCTGGCGTCACAGCCGGAAAGACCTGGACCTCTCTGGAGTCCGGGCCTGGCTTCTCTGGGGTCTGTTTCCTTCCCAGAGGGGCAGCGTGGCCGGGGGTGCCCTGTTGAACAGCCTCAGGCTGGGCTTGGGAGTGACCGCAGAGCAGAACCTGGTGAAGAGGCCTCTCGCAGGCCTCCTGCTGAGAGTCAGCCTCCTGGTAACACGTCTGCCTGCCTCTGGTGCACCCCCACCCCCAGCCTTGGGGGGAATTTTAGCTCCCCGGTTCCCCCCGGAGGCAGCCGGCCTTCACACAGCCATCTGGGCTGGGCAGAAGTCGCTGCGGGCTGCGGGGGGCAAAGCGCGAGATGGACGCCCAGCACTGCTGCACATTACGAAAGGGGGGGTCCGCCCACGCAAGGGAGCGCTGGGGGCCACCGCCCCCGCGGGGCCCCAGCCGCCTGGCCCCCAGCAGGCACACTCAGATGCCCACACACCAGCTGTGTGTCGTCCCGCCCACGCCGGCGCCCCAGGTCTAATCCCCGGGGAACAAAGGCAAACCCAGGCTGCAGGTGCCACGGGGCAGCGGCGTGGATTCTTCCAGAGTCTATTAAAGAAAGTAACAAAGAGCTAGCGGGCTAGTAGTAACGTGTTGGGCTGTGTTTTACATCAGAAACTACGTGCACTTCCCAGCCAAAGGAGTGTGTGAAGGTGGCTTCCATCTCAGCTGGTGGAAGGGTTCTTTGAAAGATAAGGGGGGGGGCCTCCCTGGGGTGGGGTGGGGGTGGGGTGCAGTGGGGGGCCCTCCCTGAAGGCGCAGGTTAAAGCGCAGCACCACGAAGCTGCCACAGATACTTCAGCACGAGTCGGTCCCCGGCCAGGGAGTGACCCACAGGGCACAGCAGACCTCTCCTGACCGCCCGCTGCTCCCCTCAGCAGCTCCCTGCTCTGCTCTGCTCCCCACTCTGTCTCTGGTGAATCCTCTCACCACCTCTGCACCCCTGGCCTGCACCCCAGTTCTGTATGCACAAATAAATCAATGTTAAAAAGAAATATAAGGGGTGACCGGGCGTTTGAGAGTGGCCAGCCAGGCGTGGTGCTTGGGGACTTTAGCCTATGCAGCTAAGTGGGAGAATTGCAGCGTGTGGAGCTGCAGCGACGTGGCGGGCCTCCAGTGGCGGAGCTTGAGCTGCGGCTCACGCCTCAGCGAGCAGAGGGGTGCACTGCGGGTCACTTTTGCGGCCTTCCTGTAGATTTGAGCGTTGCAGCCTCGCTGGGCCGGGGAGGCTGCCCCCCGCCTCTCCCGCGCAGGCCCGGGGCACCTCTCCTGCCGGCCGCACCTCTGCCGCCTCCTGACCGTGCCTCCTGTGTCCACTCAGGTGAAGACCCCCTGGTGGATGATCAGAACGAACGAGATATCAACTCAGTGGCTGGCGTTTTAAAGCTGTATTTCCGAGGCCTGGAAAACCCGCTCTTTCCCAAGGAAAGGTTTCAAGATTTGATATCCACTATTAGTAAGTATTTTCCGGGCGGATCCACCGGTCCCGTGACGGCGCTGCTGCAGCTGCACCCCGCTCACTGCCCGCTGGGCCACAGGGGGCTCCCGCAGGCAGCCGTGTGGCCCGAGGCTGCCGGGCCCGAAGCCTGGT